AAGAAAAAGAAAAAGAAAAAGAAAAAGAAAAAGATTTATTATTCTAACACATATGTAAGTTAGAAGCCAAAGCCTCTCTTTATGTGTATGAATACAAGTCAGTTGCAGCAGGGAAAGCGAAAGGCAAATCCGATCTTAAATGCTTTGATTTACTGCTGATCTAAACATTTGAGCATAATGTCCTTTGTGGTGCTGGCAAACAAAAGCCCGGCTGTGCTCCCAGCTCTGCGCCATCTCGTCTCACTGTCCCTGCTGCTCTCCTGCAGCTCGTCAGTCCTGTATCTCCCAGTAACTTTGGTGAGAGATGTCACCAGTGGCAGTGAAACAACTCCTGGTCCACAGGGATGTGAGCGAGGGGCTTTAGGAAGAGTCCACAGCTCATCGCCGTGCTGCTGGAGCTGCTCTGCCTCCTCTGCCTCCACCCATGGGAGCACGACTGGATGAGGAGCACAACGCGGCCTCATCGACTCACACTGACATTTCATGAGCAGCACTGAAAGGACTGAATGCATAAAAGCAAACTGGCTCCGAGTCCCTGATTTATACTGTTTTCTCAGGGCCTTTTTGCCAAGCAGCGAGCGCATCGTGCCAATTGCTGTTAGAGAAAAGCTTTCTTTGATAGGTAGCTTGAATGGACGCTGCCCAGTTTATGTTAAACAAAGTCCCTCCCCACGGCTCAGAGGGGCTGGCAGGGGATAAGGGAGAGAGAAAAGGTTGGGCTTTGTTGGTCTGTTGTCGTTGTTGGTTTTGGGGTTGTTTTTTTTTAGACCGGACTATGAAAGCACATTTGGTGGAGCCTGCATTATCTGTGCAAAAACACAACAGATGAATTCTATTAATGGATATAACATGTGGCTGGGTTCAAGCTAGAGTGTCATTTGAATATAGAAGTCAAAGCCAATTTATTGTAACATATTTTTCTTTTCAAAATATTTTAAGAAAGACAAAAAAGTTTGCGCAACAACTTGGCAAGCAGGTCTGTTGAGAGGAGGTAGTTTCTATCTTGCAGCTAACATAAGGGCTGAAAAATGTGGCAGTGCTGAGCAATCCCGGATTCCTTCTGGAACCAAAGGAAAGTGTGCGGGATATAATTGTGTAAGAGCCCAATAAATTTTCAAGGGTGGGTTTGTAACACTGCCCTGGGGGCTGCAGGTGGCTCCAGAAGAAAGTCACAGTTTTTATTTCATTAGGAGACATCAAAAACTTGCATCCAGCTAGCTCTGCACTCGTGTAGCCCCATCTAAAAGCCACAGAATTATTTTAAAATAGAAATAACTCCAACAATCATTGTGTTTCTTCCATGCCAGATGGTATAAAGATAAGTTGGATTAGTTTGCAGTATGCATGTTACTGTGTGTGAGAGGGTGCTTTTGTGTGCCGAGCAAAAGCTAAGACGCGGAAATGAGCTTTCCTGGGGTTTTCAGAGTGATTGCCATCGGTGCCCTGTGCTCTGCTGGCCATGGAAGGCAGCCCGGCCCACCCTTCTTTCACTGTTGGTTGGCCCTTCTTTCCCCGGATGCCATGAGAGGCCGTGGTCATGGAGCAGGGCTTCACCCTGGGGCTACACCTCAGGACTGAGAAGTGCCACTCCATGGGGCATCACGCTGCCCTTGCCATGGATTTGCTCCAGTGCTGTGTCAAAATACGCTGCTGGATATCAAGTTATACAGAATTCACCAGCTGGTTCCTATGGTGAATTGCAACAAAGCAGAGTTCAGAAAACTGATGTTTCTCATGACAGTTGTGACCTCTTCAGTCCTGTTTTCTTGCAGCTAAGGAGCACCTGACTATCGAGTGATCCAACATGGGCTGAATATTTTTGTGGGCTAACACATTTTTGTGTGCTGATTGAGAAAGTACTTTTCCACATTTGGTGAAGATCCAAGTAGCAAACACTGGTGGAGCAAGTAGACAGAAAACATATTTCTGTCAACAGAAACCATGGTTAAAAGAAAATGAGCAACGTATTCTCATCCCATGTCTGTTTTCATCCTGAATATACAGTCTGGACTTCCCAAGTACCTTGCTCATTGAGATGACCTTTTGTCAACCCTTCCACATAAAATCACAGAATCCTCAGAGTTGAAAGGGACCTTTAAAGGTTGTCTAGTCCAACTCCCCTCCAATGAACAGGGATATGCACAGCTAAAACAGGTTGCCCAGGACCTGATCCACATGAAGCTGCCCATAGATTGAATATAAGGAAAAACTTATTCTCTGAAAGAATGGTCGGGCAATGAACAGGCTGCCCAGGGATGTGGTGGAGTCACCATCCCTGGAGGTGTTCAGGAAAGGAGGAGCACTTAGGGGCATGGTTTAGGGGGTAATATTGGTGGCAGGTGGACAGTTGGACTAGATGATCTTAGAGGTCTTTTCCAACCTTAATGATGCTATGATTCTATGATATGGGGAGGACGAAGCATACTAAGATTCATGAAAAAGACCAGGGATATCCTAACGCCCCCTTAAAGGTCCTATCCACTTACATATTTGTTTTATCAAGGAAGCCAGTAAGTTCTATTTGTTTAATCTAGTGCTAATTGAAGACAATCAGCAATCTCAGAGACCGTTCTTGTGAGGGAGGTGAAGGGACAAAGGAAAATACCATCACTCACACCACTGCAAAGTTGCAGCTTGTGACTTCTGTATTTTCTAACGGTAAATATCACTTGTAGCAATGAATTTTCTCCAGCAATGAGTCTCTAAACAATTCTTGCTGCTGCTCACCAGGTGGTAGGAACCAGCAGATGAAGAGTTTGTTCCCCTGTGGTCAAACAGGCTGCCATGCAGCCCAATGGAAGTTTCCTGAAAGGCCTGCAGGACAGCTCAGTTACTTCTGTTAATGTTTCCCAGGCTCCTGGTACAACATCAAGGTTTTCCACTGGAACCACCTGGCAAGTTTTCATAATCTTCCATGAGCGATAGTTACCCCATCCCTTACTTATTTTGTCAAAGCCTTTGTATCAGTCACTTTCCTGGGAGCCTGTGCACTGTCCCCTGCACTTGAGCAAATTGCATAAAAGGGATTCTTTCATTTTCTTGTTGCTTCTTATTATTTTCATCCCTCATGAGCCATTTTTTCTGTTTCAGGATCAACATTCTGTGGTAGGTCAGGGAGCTGGCCCCACTCCAAACTCCAGTTCTTGCTCAAATCCAAACACTGGAAGTGGTTACATGAACTCATCCCAGCAATCAATGTTGAATCAGCAACTGATGGAAAAGAAGCAGGCTCTGCAACGGCAAATGATGGAGCAAAAACAACTCCTCCTACAGCAGCAGATGTTGGCAGAAGCTGTAAGCTTTCCAGTTCCTTATTTTACGGGGAAAAGGTTTTTTATGGAAATAATAGAAAAGAAAGATAAGACAGAGAAGAAAGTACCCAAGACAGAGGTCATGTTGGCAAAGCCTAGGCCTTCTAGAGTGTACCTCAGATTTCTCAGCACTTCAATGTGCCCTTTCAAAATGACTTCAGTTGATATGAAACAACTGAAGTATCAGAGCTACTGTAGCTTTGTTATAAGAACTAAGGATATGCTTGGTCCCAGGCATATGAATATTTTCAGTGGTTTTCCCTGTAAGATAAGCTAAGGTGCACTGCTGAACTGCCTTGACTCCAGAGCAAATCTGACTTCCAGGCTTGGCAAACTAGGCAGCGTGGTATAAAGGGCCTACGTGTAAGCAGGTACATTGACAGTAGTGTTCAAAACAAATCTGTGTGCTTGTCTGGGATTGCCCATGAGTTCTTCTTTCTCCATTCCTCTCTGTACATTTCAAGGTAATTGTAGCCAGTTCTTCTCTCTCCCTTGTTAACTGAAGCAAGGGGGATATGTGTGGTGTTGATGGAAGTGATAGACCCCAGAACCCACTAGTTTTGCTCTGCTAAAGTAGCACTGCCACTGATACCACGTCCAATCTGCTGAAGATGCTAGATGAGCATGGCCAATGCAAAGGGGCATCCCAGCTGCCCCAGGTCAGGGTGATACCAGAACCCCAGCCTATGACTTATGTACCACAGGAGAGCTTACAGCGCACACCCTTTCATGTTGGCATGGCATTTTGAATCCAAAACTTTCTCTTCTATATAAAAACAGATGCAGAAAAACTGGCATGTTTAGTGAACGCCAGGGAAGAGCACAGAAATGGAAAAACATCCATAGCTTGCTGTGGGTATTTTCAAAGCAACTAAAAAAATAAAATCCATATTTTTATAGAAGTCTCTTTGTTTACAAACGTGTGAATGTTCTAAAAATGCAAACTAAAAAGACTTGAGTTTGAAATTCAGAATGTCATTGTCCTATAAAGGAAATAACTGTTACCTTTTTAATTTATGCAGAAGAACTGAAGTGTCCACTCAGCTCTGTGCTGCAGTTTTCTGAATTCTTATCAGAACAAAAAGTTAATTGCTCACACAGCTCTTCTGAAAAATAAGTAAAAGCTAAACAGAAATTAAAATAACCCTACAGAATGAGATTTTTGATCAGCTTTCATTTGCTTTGTGTTGTGGACATGGCAATACGCACAAAGCCTAGCTGCAGTTTTTGCTGGGATTACCTGCAGGTTAACTTGCCTTTTTCTTACAAGGCTGACTATATACTGAAATGAGCTCTATAAATCCCACTTGTAGAATGCATTAAGGAAATGCATAAATACTACAAGAAAGACTTTTCTCCCAGCATTTCTGAGTGCCTCTTGCAGCAGGAAAAAAAAAATTTGTCATGAGAAAGTCAACTTGTGTGCTGTTTCAGGTAGAAGAGCCCTGAGTAAATCTGACTGGCTTCAGACACACACCGGGCCTGGTCCTCTCACACAGTGATGAGCTGGTTTGCTGTCTGAGCAGATCCAAGCTCTTTAAGACAAATTTGCCACTGGTCCATTGGATGCCCTTGGTCACTGCCCAGAAATGGCTTTTCCCCTCATGCCCAGTGAAGAGCACAGGGAGCCTTTTATATGATTTCCCATAGATTTTGGGTGGAAATTGCTGTGGATTAGCCAGCCTCAAGCCTGCAAGTACGAAGCTCAGGTGCATTGGTGAGCATGTCGTGAAGAGAGACCTGCCCAGTAGGACTGACTCCAGGAGGCACATGTACACCAGCAATGACTTACTCAAGACTAAGGTGGTCAAAGTCACATTTTCATGCCACGAAGCCACATATCTCAGAATCATAAAGTTGTTAAATTTGGAAGGGACCTCTGGGTCCATGTGGCCCAACTCCTGTTCCAAGGAGGAGATCCCACAGCCTGTGGTCAACCTGTGCCACTGCTCCATCACCTGCACAGCACAGGAGTGCTTCTGGTGGTCAGAGGGAACCTCTCGTGTTCCAGTTTGTGCCTATGCCTCCTGTCCTGGCACTGGGCACCACTGACAAGATTCTGTCTCCCTCCCCTTTGCATCCACCCCTCAGGTACTTATGGACATTAATGAGATCCCCCTGAGCCTCCTCATCTCCAGTCTGAACGGTCCCAGCTCTCTCACTTCTCCTCACAGGAGACATGCTCCAGTTCTTTCACCATCTTGGTGGCCTTCTGTTGGTGGCCATTAAGTCTGTGTGTGTCTTGTACTGAGGAGCCCAGAGTTGGACACAGTGCTCCAAGCCTCACCAAGAAGTTGCAGGGCAGGAACACTCTGGAGATGCCAGAATCTGTGTCCAGTAACAGATTAGCTTCACTGTGTGTTGATGCTGATGAGAGGTTTGCAGCTGACTCCAGCACTGCACTTAGCAAGTCTTTATGAGGACAGGGCAATTAGATTTCAGTTCAAGGACATGGATTTCTATCTTCCTTTCACTGGGTATGTGTCCCTTCAGGCCCAAAATAAAAAAGCTGCCCTACTACATTGTTTTTTCAGCTTTCTTTCTTCACTGTCATTTCCCCAGTGCTTGCACTCCTAGAATAAGTAAGACAGTGCCACGTACATGTACAGGGAAACACAGGGCAGTGGTGAGTGATATAAACAGCCATCCCAGTACAGTCTTTGCAAAGCCCTGGCCACGTCTCCTGATTGTATCTATGATGAGAAGAGACGGGAGGGGGACAAAGCAACGGATCTTGTTTATTTCTGTGGCAGCTCCTCCAATGTAGGCGGAATGAAGGAGGGAGAGATAGGACAAAGCATGTCTAATGACAAGCTGAAATCCTCTCTGCCAACTGTGCATTCACCCAGGTCAGCATGGGTGAAATGTGCTGAGAAATATTGACAAAGCCAAGGGGCAGGTGTGGACCTTGCAGGTCTGGACCCTTCTTGCTAAATTAACAAAATTCTACTCTCATCCTCTAGGAGAAAATCACTCCACAAGATCAGCTGAACAGACACTTGACACGACCACCACCGGACTATAAAGACCAAAGAAGGAATGTGGTCAACATGCAACAAGCAAACCAGTATCCTGGTAAGTGTCCCTGTACTCAAAGAAACTTCTTCCTCCAGAAAAGCCAGGCATGCACTGATAACAAGGGCCTTATTTTATGGGTACCCCTCCCTTCAGCACTGCTTGGAGAAAACATGCACTGAAATACCTGATACAGAGGTGTCTTCATGAATGTGCAGCCTTGCTCTGTCCAGAAGTTTCTCTTCTGGTACTTCTTGCTTCAGGGATTGAGACTAGAAACATTCTTCCCTTCAAACAGAAGCTTATTTACAACATGAAGACCCTTACACTGATTCTTAAGATTACATATGATGCCACCATGGGCACCAGAGCTGCCGTTTGAACTTTTAGTCCATTTTTTATATGCCTCAGTGCTTCACTACAAGCAGCATTTCAACAAATCAGCCAAGCAGTGCAATGAAAGTCCCAGTGTTCACCTGCAACTGCCTAGAGTAGACAGGTTCTTTGTTTTAACTCCTGAGCCCTGTCCTCCTTGGAGAGCCTGCATTGGGAGCACAGAACTGCTGGGCTTCCATGCCATTCGTATCACTGGTTGGCTGTGGGCTGCTCTGAGTGCAGAGTAAGGAAAAGGTGCTGTGGAGAGAGAAGAGGTCGGAAGGAGTGCAGCAGGTAGGATCAAGGATGTTCTTTATCCTGCAGTGTTTGTGCATTTAAGTATAAAGCAATCTTTACCTTCCAGTGATTTCTGTATGCAATACACTGAGAAAAAAAAAAAAAAAAAAGATGTTTTAGTTTTTTTCCTTAACTGTTGGCTCTGCAAATTGAGCAGAGATATCACAGAATCACAGAATTGTAGGTGTTGAAAGGGACTTCTAGAGATCATTGAGTCCAACCCCCCTGCAAAGCAGGGCCCCTACAGCAGGCTGCACAGGTAGGTGTCCATGAGGGTCTTGAATATCTCCAGAGAAGGACAATCCATAACCTCCCTGGGCAGAATCCACAACCTTCCTGGGCAGATATGAGCCTTTCATTCTTACCCATCGTTTGTAGCAGAACTTCTTCACTTTCTCTTACATGTTTAATGGGTTCTCAAGTGCAGCTCCTTTGCCACCCTCTGCCCAAGCTGCTGATGCAGCACCAACATGGCGATGTTCATGCACTGCTTTGCTGTTTGAAAGTCTCAGCAGTGACAAACTTGCTGCATTCTACAACCTGCTGCTTTCTAACAAGGCTGAGCGTTTCCTGTCTTCAGTAAATTTGCACAAGCATCACTGATGCACAGTGAGGGCAGTGCCACAGGAACCTCTTTGCAGGCTGGGGACTTCCTGTGCTGTTACAACAAATGCTTTGACTGTGCTGGCAGCTTTGTTAGGGAATCCTGTGATTTCGTGTGTTGCTTAAAGCCTCATTCCTGGAATCAAATGATTAACTGAGATTCTTGGCTTACACTTGTAAACAACACATCTCTAGCCTGAGAGAGAACATGGAAATGGCTGCAGCCACGTCTGTGAAAGGCTCCAAAACAAGTAGATCGCCATTGTTATGTGGTTCTCTTTGTTTGAAATCTGATGGACTCCTTGCCAGGCTTTGTGGCATTTGGAGACGCATCTCTTGGGTTTGCAGCATATGAGATTGGCAGCACTTGCCCATGCAAATCTCCCCACTGAGGAACACCAGGGAGGAGAGCAGCATTTTGGGTGAGCCTGGGAGAAAGGACTGTGCTGGGAGCTCACTACACATCTACCAGATGGAGTGGTTAGGAAACTCTTGCATAAGGCAGCAACACAGGGAATCTGTTCCCTGTTTTTCTGGGAAGAGCTTTGCTCAGGTCAGTCAGGGAGAAAAAAACCAACAAAGTTAACTAAAAATCCATAAAGGAGACATGGAGACATGTGGTGAAGTATTTTATTCCTCTGTGCTTTTCCCTCCAGTGCTGTGTCACAGCAATAAGACCCTGACGCCAGCAGGTGAATGGGGCAGTGAGGGTGTTTTGAACCTCTGCTGCCCGGGGTGTCCAGCTGCTGTGTGCAGCAATGCTTGAGGAGAAATGTCTTCCCATCTGGAAGAAATCAGGATGGAAAATATTTGTGTTAAAAATAAAAGGATAAAAATAGCAATAGAAAAAAAAGAGAAACTTTGTCTTTTGCGCAACATGTACAACCCATGTCCTGAGCTCATGCTCCTTAAAATGCGTGGCATTTACACAAGGAGCAGGATGCCAACCCTCAGGGCTCCCCATAGCTGGCAGAGTCACCCCACAGGGCTTCATCCCACAGTGTGTGCAGTGACCCCACCAACCTGTTGCAGCTGCTTCAGTTTGACCGCAGAGAGAGGACTGTTCTCCCTCAGTGCTGTTCCAGGTCTTTGGAAATGTTTCCTATGCCATTCCTCCACCTCACCAGCAGCTTAAGGAAGTGAAGTCTGAGGGTCCCAATCTTTATTACCCCTACAAGAGGAAAGCAATGCATAAAACCACCAGCAAAGTCAAAGACAGGCTAACCGTGATCTTTTCTGCATAGCACACAGGAAAATCTGATGATGGGCTTCTCAGGGCATCTCCTGTTCTTGGGCTGCCCAGCTCGGGGCCTGACTCAAGATTTTAGATCATTGAATCATAGAATCGTTTGAGTTGGAAGGGACCTTTAATGGTCACCTAGTCTGACTCCTCTGCAATGAATAGGGACATCTACAGTTAGATCAGTCTCCTTGAATTGTTTTGTAAGTAAGCATCTCCTACTTGGAGCCAGTTTATGCAAAGCTCACCTTCCAGGATAAGCTGAGCTTCTCAGTCTAGGTGTCTGTTTATACTGACTTGGAATAAGCAACTCTGGTTGCGGAGACAAACTTGGTGTTAATAATGAGTTAGGAGGAGATTATTTACAAGTACTTAAGTGAAAAAATAATCCTTTGCATCCGTTACAAAACAGCAATAGCATATGTGTAAAAATAATGCAGAAACAGCAGAAATATGTGATAATTCTTTTATTCTATTCCAGTCTCAGTGAACTGAACATCATTATGGTGAAACTTCAACAGGAACAGTATATTAAACAGCTGTTACTAAACATAGACTTTTTAAATATGTATGTGCATGATTTGTGTTCAAGAATTCTACAAGAGCTGGCTGAGAGGTTCTCCAAATTCTTAATGTCGCTTTTTATTTAGCCCTGAAACTCCAAGGAAGAAAACTAAAGCCATAACAAAAATTAAAAGAGTAACTAGGTAATTGATGCCATAGTGACCTAATGTGGAGCCCAGCAAAATTACTGGAGAGCTGATGTAGCCTATGTAATAAAGAATTTAGGAAGAGAATATAATTAATGTCAGGCAACATGGGTTTTTCATAAAAGACATCTTTTCAAACTGTTATGGTATTTTTTTTTTTTCAATGAAACCACAACTTTGGTTGATAAAGGCAATAGTTGTTCAGTAGCGTACTTCAAAGCATACAACTTGGTACTGCATATTTTGATTCAGAAACCAGAGTAATAAAAAATTAACATGGCATGTAAGGAAATGGCTAATAGGCCTCCAGATTTCCCTGCAAATACAACTGAAAGGACACAGTCTGATTTGGTGCTGAACAAGAAATAAAAAGCTTGCTTTGCATCCATTCTGGAGTTGTGCAAGAACCATTAAATACTGTGGGTAGCTGTGGTGTGTAGCCTTGAAATCAGATGCTGAAAATGGGCAAGTTTTGAAAAGAGCTGAAAATGACTGAAGGACTGGAAAATATGCCACACATTGGGATACTGGAGAGCACTGCAGACACAGTCATGGTCTTTAAGCACCTGCACCGTAAGAAAGGATCGATGATGGACCGACTGATAAAAATAATCAATCAGACTAATGCGTAACAAAATTTGGGGATGAAGTCAAAGTTAGTCAAATTCAGCCTGGGTTTGTAGATGGTTTCAGCTATCTACATCTATGTCTATATCTAGAAAATGTTTGGTCTTCTTCAAACAGCCATGGGGGCCTGGAATTAATTCAGACCCTTGCACTGCATAAGCAATGGTCTCGTGGCTGCTTGGTCACCACACAGGAGCAAGCAGGTCACAGGACTGAGCAGCTCTCCTGGCATCTGCCCGGGACAGAGGCTGTCTGCTGCAAGTGGATGAGATGCAGTCCTGGCTGGGCAGGAGAAAAGGGAAGTATGAACCTCACCTCACTTAAATGGGGGTTTGTCCTGCATTTCTATCATTTCTATTAAAAAAAGAAAAAAGGCATAAAAGTGTTCGTTCCTTCCCACTGGTTCTGTCTATCCCTCCTTATTCCAATATTTCTCTTCCAACAAGAACCACTTCTGGTTCATTTGATATCCTCTGAAAAAATGGGAAGACCACTAGTGGCTTCATATAAAGCAAACCACCCATTAGCTGATAGGTATCTTTGAGGCTTCGAACAAGTACACATAAATCCTATCAGAGCAAGATATCTTACTCAAGAAATTCAGGATCTTTAACCAGTTGGTATTTGAATGACACCATGCATCAACGCATTTATGTTTTAACATGCATGTTTTCTCCTTTCCAGGTGGTTCGCCAGCTGTGAGCATGAACTCCAGCATGTCCTTATCAAACCCAATTTCAACACACAGCATCATGCCTCAGAGCTCCAGTCTCATGTCCACCCCTGCTGGGACCCGAATGCCTTCTGTTCCTGCTGCTCGGAGTATGGGCTGCTATGGGAGCCTTCCTTGCAACCAACCGAGTGCGTACAGCGTGACTTCAGGAATGAACCAGATGCAGCCACACAGAAACCAAAACCAAGTCCTGCCCAGTCAGAATAACGCCATGATGTCTCGACAGCAAACCATGACGCAGAGCAACAACGTAGCTGCTTTTGGGACTGGGTCAGTGGTCAGCTCACAGCAAGTAAGGCCAAGTTTGAACCACGGAGCCACAGGTATCCCCGTGCAAAGACCACCCAATGTGATGATCACAGCTACGGCCACTGCTCAGAACTGGGCCCCGCAAGAAGCTGCTGTGAAGCAGCAGGACGCACTGAAACCTGCCGGTGTCCGTTTTCCCACAGGCACTCCATATTCTAACCAGTCTTTGCAACGCAACATGGGCAACCAGCATTTTCCTCAGCGTGCATTGGCACCACCTAATCAATTAACAGCGGGAGTCCAAATGAGGCCTCCTCTGAACCAAATGCACCAGACTGTAAATGGACAATCTGCTGGTTCACTACGAGGTCTAAGTGTAAGACCCAACCAGCTAAGAGGACAGACTGTGCCTACCTTGAATCAGCCTGGAACAAGTATGACACCTCCGTCGTCTCTGCCATCTACCAGTTTCACATCTACCAACCAAAACTCCCGGGCTTACCAAGCAGGCGACCATGGTAGTGACCTCGCATTTGACTTTCTGAACCAGCAGAGTGACAGTATAGGACCTGCACTCAACAGTGATTCAGACTTTATAGATTCTTTACTGAAAACGGAACCTGGTAATGATGACTGGATGAAAGACATCAATCTTGATGAGATTTTGGGGAACCACTCGTAAGTGACAGTGCCAAGGGTGAAACAGATGAAGAAGCAGGAAGGACGTTAGCTTTTTCTTTAGATGCCAACAGTCTGCTTTATTAACTTACACTCCAGTAACTGGGCTATCCTTTAAAATACCACATAGGGCGACCACCTTGTTTGAAGAGTTGCTCTAGGAACAGCAGTGATGTCTCCCTGATCAAACGATAATGTAAACGGTAGTCATGGCTGACAGAAAGGAGTGAGAATACATGAAGGGTCTGTTCCTCACGCTGGTGCCCAGCACATTGCAAACTCATTAGTTCTTCTTGTGGGTGCTGTGTGGAAAAACACTTAGCTTCCCACACACTGAAGCACCAGAGAGTGGTATGGGCTGTGAAACATCATTTCTCTGAGTGTAAGTAGCAGCCCAAGTGGTCCAGAGATCTTCAGTCATTGTCTTCGCAGCCCTTAACTACCTTGGGACTACTCAGCCCTGACAGGATCAGGCTCTGTGTAAATCTCATAGCGTTACAAAAACTGTTTACTTCTACATAGTACAGACATTGTGTTTCCAATGGTTTTGTTTTAAACTTATGTTTTGTACCACACAAAAGGGTAAGTGGTCCCATCCAAGGAAAGGAGACAGATCGTGCAACAGAAGTCAGCATGTAACTCGGTGTGCTCTAGTTTCTGCTTTCTCTCTTTTGCCAGCGCCTGCAGCCAGTATCAGAGGAGGCTGCCTTCCTGTCAGCAGCACATTTGGAGCATAGAGGGAGACATGATGTGAACTATGTCAGAGCTCGGGAGCCTTCCTTTGCCACCTTGCCCTACCCCAACAACACCAGTGACTTAATGGACAAATTAATTGAGAAAGGTGCTCACAGTTTTGACCCTCATGGGCTACTTTCCCAGTCCAGCCTACAGAAGGGCAAATACATGATGTGGCTCAGTGAAGCCACAGCAAGTATCCCCATTTTCATCTTAACCTAAGGCACAGGTCAGGTAATTCAGCCCAGTCCCAATCTATCAAACAGGTTCTTCTTTGCAGGAATTCTCTCTGTCTGGGAGAGACTACCATTTTGACTGCACAGTACTTTGGCTCCACTTTCCAAAGCTTACCTTTGGCATATGAGGGAGTTTAAGAGGTCCAGCGATGGTCCACATCAACACAGCTTCTTTCAGCAGAGTACAAGGGTGCTGCCTCTGCAACCAGCATGTATACACATCCATTTAACCGCCTGGGTTACCTGCAGTATTCGCCACATCTATGCTTGTAAATCGAACAGTTTTGAAGAATATTTCTGGGCACATTTCCTTGACCAATTTCTGCATATCAATAGGAAATTAACTTGAGTCATAGCAAGTTTGCAGCTACCATGCACTGAAGGCTAATAGAACAGAGTAGTAAGGATATGGGTTCCACATTGATTGACTTCACTGCTAGAGAACAGTCTTGACCGTGTTAAATTTTCACCTATAGGCTTGGCCAGTAAGAACATCAGAAAGTGGTTCCATGTCACAATAAAGTGGCTCTACTGTGAGTCTGGCAGGCGGATTCAGGAATGGGAACAGATCTTGCAATTCAAATGAAAATGCTGTTCTTTAAAATGATGTGGTGAGACGAGTTTCACAGTCTCCTCTGAATCAGTTAAAACTAGATGTGGCAAAGGAATACAATGCCTACGTTCACATGCTTCGGCGCCAAGAGGCACTGCTCTGCCCCATCCGTGCAAGTGCTTTATTCATCCTTGTTAGTGGCAGTGGAATGAGTAGACTATCTGACAATAGCCTCTGCACTTATCTGACCTATTTCTCAAGTGAGGTTTTAATAAGGCTTTTCCAGTTATTCCTCACTGGGCATTTCATGCGGGCACAACTTTTCATGATGTTTCAGGAAGCATGGTCACACGCACAAGTGACAGCACCTCCAAGAAAGGTGTAACATGGGCATTTGGTGAGATGTACCAGTTGAGGCAGGTGATCCGTGATGCTATTAACTCCCAGACACGCTGTTCATGAGAGATATGAGAAACCATGCTGGAATGTCCCTTCTGCCCCACCTAGTGATCACTGTACATCGCTGCCTTGCATACTGTGGTGGCTCAGCTGCCCAGAAAGCTCCATTTTATCCCCAGTTTTCACTGGGGTGCATGCAGTACTGATGTTTCCAAGTCTTTAAAAAGCTTTTCAGCTCAGGCTACTGAGGTAGGTAGGCACCCTACCTACTTTGGGAGTGATACAGATGCATCCCCTATATACTGTGCAAAACTAGAGTGAAATGGTAGGTAGGAGTTCAAAGATCAGCACACAGAGACACACACCATCTGTGAGCAGGTCAGCAGTGACCACCCAACCTCTTGTATGAGCAGACAGTTCTGATGCTAAAGCTGAGGCTGGGTTAGTCTCATCACAAGCAATGAGCACTAAAGTCTGCTAACTTCAGCTGCACTCACATGCCATTGAAGAAGCCACCTGTACTGAGACCAGATTGTTTTCCAGATCTTCAAATGATGTAAAGTAATGCAGAGCTGAGGAGCTGGTCCCAAGTCTTCAAGCTATCATCCAGTGCTGGATTCAATGCTGAGCTTTGTACTGTTGGCCCCAGCCGGCAGTAGAGGAGACACTGGGCATCCCTGGGATCAAAATGGCATTCTGTCTTAAGCAAACCCAGCAAGGCCACAGCAGTCCTGTAAAGATACACCTGATGCATTTGAAATAGGAGCTGGCAAAAGACTTGCTACCAAAACTTGAATCCAGTGTCATTTCTTCAGAACACCTGTGTCCAAACAGAGTTAGCATCTTTGTTTTCCTTTCTTTGCAATGGCTAAGTGCACTACCCTTAGAGTCTATTTTTCATCATCGACTGAGCACTCTTCGCAGTATTGGGTTGTAAATATAAAGAATTATTTGTTTTGTAAACTTTTGTAAAAAAAAAAAAAAAAAACCAACAAAAAAACAAAAACAAAAAAAAAAAAAACAAAACCAAAAAGTAATAATATTTTGGTAGGAATAATAAAATCATATTATTTGGGTTATATTTATACATATGTGAAATAAATATACTATCAGAAAGTTGTATTTTATACAAAAAGACAACGGTTACCTTTTGTATTCTATATACAAAGTTTTGTATGATACGATTGTTTATTTTTATCTGCAGACTTCGGATTTTGGGGGAGGGCAGAATGGGATCGTGGTTAAATAACTGGGCCTGACCCCAAGCTCACTGAAACCAATGGATTCTTTCCATTGCCTTCACAGGGCTTTGAATCAAGCCTTTAAATCAACTTCAGGTATATATGAAATCTGAAGCTCTCTGGAAACCTCAACATGAAAACATTCCAGGTTTCAATTTTTTTTTTTTTTTTCCCCCCCAAAAAAAGGCTTTTATTATTCTTGTTGTTGTTGTTGTAACTCTTGGGAGGCAGGTGGGACCCGTGTAACTGTCACGTCCTTGTTGCATGTACGTCTGCTTTATATTTTCCCCATATTATAAACCAGTGTTTCTCTATACAGACTGAAAAGAAAAGTTGCTGTACAGAAATGTTTGTGTTTATGCATTTTTACATGTGGCTGTATATACCTCTTAGTACTATGCAGTGACACTTATTGACTCCATTTATTTTTCACCTAAACATGAATAGTATGTTTTTCAGTAGCTATCAAAACTCTGCCAAGTAAATCAATCAAAATTATCCCGAGTGTCTCTTTTCTTAACGTGAATTTTAAAATTAATGTCTGTTTAGTCAACAGCTCATTCATCTGAGTAAATTAAAATTACAGTTCTATTTTAGGAGGGGTGAGAAAAATGTGCATCTGGCAGCTTCTGGGAGCTCACTCTCCTTCTTTGCAAGAGAACTGGGATTTTTTTTCTCCTGATTGGAGCAATAGTTTCATGCCAGCAGGGGTTAACGAGTAACACGTGGGTATTTTTGCTCCTGAGGAATAGGTTGGTGTAGTCTTGCAGCACAGTGGTTTGCTTTATATGCTCCTAAGCCCTGCTGCAGCAATGAGCTTGCAAGTATCTGTAAGCCCAGATAGTTCATGCATGACATGATCCAACATTTCAATAAACCCCGTCAAGCTGTATACCGAGGGTGTGCTATCTAATTTATGCATCACCTCAGAGCTGAAAAACAGCCATGAGGAAGTGATTTCTCGTTCCTTGACAGGCTTCCCTCATAAGCCAGGCTCCATCTCCAAGCAGAGGGCGGTAACACAGGGGGCTGCTGAGGTGGACAGAGGAGGGATGCTGGCATTTCTCCTGTGCCCCACACTGCCCACATCTCCCACAGCTCTCTTCTTGCTTCAGCATCTCCAGGTGGCAGCCCAGGCTCCCCTCTCACCGAGGAGTGGAAATCAGGGCACAGTCTTAGTCATCCGTGAGTACGCCTGAAATAGGTCACGAGAATCATGCCCTAAAGTGCCTCTTTGTCTACCCCAGCTGAAAAGGCAGTCAGACTGCCGCTTCAGACACTCACCCTGGAGGCTCATCTGCTTGGATGAAAGCTCCCTAGAGACAGCAGCAGCAGCAGGACAGATGGAGGAAAGAAGTCTCCTATTTCCATTGGTGCCGGGTGGTTTCCAGCTGGCCAGCTTGCCCAGCATTCTGGTGATGCTCACTGGGCAGAGAGCACTTGTGCCTAGCCTGATCCATAGCCAGGACAGAACTGGTGGGACTGGGGAGCCTCACACGAGGCTCTTGTTTGGCTGAAAAAACAGTATCTGTAGTATTAAGGCAAAAAACAGCCAGGGGTGAGGGGCCTCCTAGGCCCTGGTAGTGCCTGAGTGTGATGGCCACTCTGCCAAGCACAGCCCATGTCCACCACCAAAACTATTCCCACTGTGGATGCAGGGTGTGATAACATGGACACAAGTCACCCTGCACCACGTGTTCTCAGTGCCACAGAACATCCCCATTCCATGTGCCTGGGGAAATGTGGTCAGGGACACCATGTGGGAAATACGGGTGACAGGGAGTATTTGCCCTGCCCAGCCAGATGTGCAACAGTGAGATCTGCACCACATCTGGGTGAGGACTGACCTTTCCCTCTGCAGTAGAATCGCATGGGAACGCGCTACCACCTCAGTACAGAGTGCTGCTTCCTCCCACAGCAGCACAGAGGCCCCACAACAGCAGGAATGTGGGCAGGATCCTGCCATAGTTAAAACTTACACCATGGGAAAAGCTGACATCACGTCAAATTTTAAATAAGGCTTTCTGGGTCATGCAAGCCACCTTGACAGAGCTCCTTTAATAGGGTTTCAGATCATTTCCCTATGACAAATAAATGACATATAAAATTTCTTTTTTTTTCCTTCCAGCTCACAAGATCATTGCACACAAATTACTGTATTAAAAAGATTGCTTTTTCTGCAATGACTCAGCCACTTCTGTGCTGAAGAGCACGCACAGTTCCCGTTGGGAATGTGGTAATGTTTGCATTGCCACTGCATGATTAGAATCATGGAATCATTAGGTTGGAAAAGACCTCTAAGATCACCATGTCCAACTGTCCGCCCATCACCACCATGCCCACTAACCACATCCGTGCAGTCTGGATCCTCTCCTTCTTCATCCTCAGAACCAGTAGTGGGCTACTGAAGCTGCATGGCCAAAGGCTGAGGGGCTCTGCTGCCTTGTAAGCACAGCCGTCACTCCCCAGGCATGGCATGCATTCCTCTGCAGGGCTTGAGACAACAAAGATGCGCTATCTGTGGTTTTTGGAGGGCTGCCTGCAATGTTTTCACTCTGGCTGACTGGTCTGCCTTGTTCTACAGGCACAGTAACTGTTTTATTCTATGTGCCCACGAGCACTAAAAAAAATCTTGTACTGTTCAGCTCTTGGGTGAAATGCTGAGTGTAGGGGCATCCGTGAAGCTTGTGTTAAAGCTGGAAAAATCTAACCCTCAAAATCAATTTGAAAGAAGGAAAAGGTTCTTCGTCATTGTGCTGGTCAATGAACAACACGTAAGGGCAGGATTTGCCCTTGATACAGTTATGTTGAGGTGACATGGCAAAAATAGAACCAGGCGATGTATTCAAACTGCTTTTTGTGCTGACCTGGGCTCTAAATACGGCAGGGAAGTCCAACTTCAGATGCAAAGCTATTCCAACAGATAGATTCTGCTAAATTAGTGCCTGAAGAGCATTAAGACAATTATTACACTGTTATTTGAGAATCAGATTTGGAAAGCTCCTTCTTATAGGAACAGCCCATAGGGTTTGTTCCATACACTGATCTCATGACAAAGGACAGGGTATACAGGCAAGTCAAGTTAATATGTGAACTTCATTCATATAAGAATGTAATTTCCATCCACGAAAAGCATCTTTCTCTAGGGAAGGCATATTTGAAGCATATTGGCTGCATCTCTTTAAATTTATTTCAGAAAGAATTTGGTAAGTTTTCCAAAAGTGTAGATTTTAAAAAGAGAAATGTGTTCGAATGCACCTGGCATATGACTCTGATTCATCAAACTTACCAGTAACTCTAAGGTAGTGATGAATACCTAAGAACATATGCATTGGCCAAAACATCTCTCTGTGAATCTGCACATGAACTTTGCCAATGATGATTTATTCCTCTTCTGAGTTCCTTTTGCTCATGAGGTCCATGATTTTATCCTGTGTTACTCATCCTCCAGCAGGACTTCTACCTGGCATAACATTACACCTCACATCACTATACTCTGTGCCAAATTACAGCTGAAGTAAAGAAACCTGTTGTACTTTATCCTGTGGCTTCTTCACTGTGTCAGATAACCAAGCCCAAACAGTGTGTATACCAGAGGGAATACCTTCATGTGTGATCCCAGAAGGCTGATCAAAATTGCAGGGCTACGTGGCATCCTCCACGTCTGAGCAACAAGTTAGCTGCATTCATAGCTAAAATCAGGATTTCTACATAACACCCTCCCCCCCCCCAAACAACTTTTCCTTTCATTTAAGAAACAAATCCACTAATTAAAGCAGTTTCCGCATAATTACACTGCATCTTCATATTATAATGTGCCACAATGGTTCTAGTAGAACTAACCATAGCAAAAACATCATATGCTAATCTTACTGACTTTCCCTTCAACCCAAGCCCTAGGACTTAGCCTAGTCTGTTTTACAATACAATCTGCTAGATTCTTATATACCAACAGGCCATCTGTTTATGCCAAGGAATTTAAAACCTTCCTGTAGAAAATGTCTGAAGTGTTTCAGATGGTTACAAAGAGAAGCTTTCAAATGCTGATGGAACAGTGAAAAAAAAGAACAAATTGTTAAAAAAGAGTAGAGAAAAATGCCATCCATTAGAATATGTTTCATTACCTCCTCCATCCCAGAAAAACCCTAGAAATCTCCTTTTGCTATACTATTCTTCTGAAGTTTCAGTAGTTGCCTGTTTTGGTTTTCCAAATTCTACTTTTTTTAAGGAAATGGTGTCCTTCTGATACACTCTGTTGGGCCTCCAAAACCTCTTGCTGTTAGATGAGTTTTAGCTTCCAGTAAGCAAGAGAAAGCAGGCAGAAGAAAGCAATGCAAATGATCAGAAGTCTAGAAAAGATAACAACTGAGGTTGGAGAGGATGAAGATTCTCCAGGCAGATGCATTGTTGCTGTCAGGGGAAAAGAGCTATACATTTCTATACTGATTTCAATAGTCCAGGAAATAAGGGATTCAGAACAGCCACCAGGTGGAAGTTTTTAACATGAAGGATGATGCTAGGATAATCTAGATGAGGGGGGTATGGAGTCTGAAGTCTTTAGGGCTTGGTTAAGCATCTGTCAGAAATGATACTGATATGAGTTACCCTCCTTTTGGGCAGTTGTGTGGACTTAATGTCTTGTTGGATCCCCACAGAAAGACAGTAATTCTGTGGAAAACCAGTGGGAAGTTTTCACATGGAGGCAGTTTTATGGGGCACAGGTCAAC